CATTGATAGGGAAATGAAATAGTGTATATCACAACTGCAGATGCTACTCATTATTGTTCCCCTCTAAAGATTCTACTGTCCCTAACTCTGCAAAGCTGGATTTTTCCCCCAAACAGCTGCAGAAGATGGACAACTAACGCTACAATAGGTGTCTCCAAATAGCTCACAATTTAGGCTGTGTTCTTACTTAGTTTTTTAGAGGTATATCACATTTGCGTTCAGTGGCAGAGCTAGGATCTTTCCTTAGAAGTGCAATAACTTATAGCCTGAATTTACATTATGTGGTTTATGGATTTTTGGTGCAGCAAAGTGTTTGTTATAAGTTAATAGACACGAGTCAACTCTTGCTGCTACAATGCTTCAGAGAAGAGATCAGCTGCAAGAATTCTTCTAGTCTAAGAGCATTCAACAGTACATGACCAAGAGTATAAGAAAGGGCTACTGATACATTGACATCAATATAATCCTCCTGTTCAGTTTATCCCGTTTGTTATTATCAATATACTGTATTAATCATTTGGTAAACTGCTGCTCCTGCTTACCGTATCTCAGAAATTGTCCACCCAAAGTACATCAAATAAGAGCCTTTTTAATGGAAAGGGTGCTAAAAGGGTCTCTTCTCCTATGGTCAAGATAACCAAATAGTACCTTACTGAACCCACATGCATTGCCACCAAAAGAGTTGAGCAAATGATATGACTTTTGAAAGTAGACAAAAACATATGCAGGAACCTGAGTACATTCACATCCATTATTGTCTTTCTTTCTTTCTTTCTTTCTTTTCTGGATAAAACCAATGCTTTTCCATATTATGTTGCAAATAGTTCAATGTATATCATCAGAATTAGCTCCAGTTGCTAATTCATGAGCAATTGCAACCTGCTGCCTTGCTACTTTTCAAAAGACATAGTAGAAGTTGACACAGTATCTACCAAGGCAGACCATGCATCTGGAGGAGCCCTTCCCAAGTCTTCCAAACAGCTCAAGAGCTCTATAGATCTATCTGTCTTGGCAAGGATCAATGGGTCCTGAACTTGTGATATATCCTTCAAACAAGAGCTTGTTCCTGCCAATATTACACTAATGCCGACAAAATAATTAGCTAATTTTATCCATTGGTTAAACCAATCCCAGAAATTAAAATTAAATGCCAATGGAAGATTGTCTACTGTTTCATTTTCTGCATCCATTGTCAAGTCATTGGCATCCAAACATATCAAAGCCATTATCGACAATATGGGCAAATTTTCAGTGATAGCGTATTCAAACATGCTGCTTCATCAACTTATTAGCCAAAAATTCTGAGTACCAGAAAGAAATTATAGTATAATACTGCCATTTTTTATCTGGTCTAAAAGCTAACTTTATGGTTCGCTATGACAAAATCAATAACTAAGTTGTGTATGCAGGTGAATTACAGTATACATGGATGCAGCAACAACAGATGCGCAAGAATATATGCTGATCAGAAACTTTCAAACAAATGACTTCCCTTATTTCTATTTCTATGGAAAACAGCAAATCATGAGTTATTGACACTTTAATTTTAACTGTTAATTATAGGGTTAAATGCACTAAATCCCCTTGAACTTTACCCTTAGTTGCATTTTGCCCCGAACTAATTAATAAGCACTTCTTCCACCTCTCCCCATTTGATATTTTAAAATAAAAGTGCCCTTACTATTTTATTTTATTTCTTTTTTGTTTATTCATCCCCTTGTTTTTTCTTTTAGTTAGATTGCTAGTAATGTGCATTTTTTTTTATTATAACAGGAATATATCATTTTTTTTACGCTATACAATTTGTCTTGAATTTTTTAATAGTGTAAATAAACAAAAAAAGAATGAAATTATAAGTAAAAGATAATTATAATATTATAATAAGCATATACATTATTAATATTAATAGGAAAGTAAGACAAGACACTAACATAAGAGAAATAAAAAATAGTAAAATATAAAAATATAAAAAAAAAAGACAATAGTGAAAAGAAAAAAAAAGGGAATGAATAAACAAAAAAGAAATAAAATAAAATAGTAAGGGCACTTGTATTTTAAAATATCAAATGGGGAGAGGTGGAAGAAGTGCTTATTAATTAGTTCGGGGGCAAAATGTAACTAAGGGTAAAGTGCAAGGGGATTTAGTGCATTTAACCCTATAATTAACCGTTAAAATTAAGGATTAATCACATTTTATCCCCTTAAAGAATACTCAATTTCTCAGTTTACCTCCTAACCTTAAATTTTGCTCACTTAACCCCCTTTAGGACAAAATTGTCCTTGCATTATTTTGACTTTTCATTTACCTTGTTTTTTTTTTCTTTTATTTCTTTTTAACTTTTTTCTTTATTTAATTCTTCCTCTTTCCCACAAAAATTTTCACCTTAATGATTGAAATTAAAAAAAAGAAATTGCAGAGATCTATCTTCTCCTTAAATGATTAAAAAAATATTCAAATCACTTTCCTAAAATAAATTTTTTTAGCCTTTCAATTCTTTTAATTTTGAATTTTCCTCTTTCCTTTCTAGTTTCTCATTTTATTCTCAAGAAAATATCATAAGATGAAATTGTTTTCCTTTCTTTTATTTCTTTTTCTCTATCTTCTCTCTTTCATCCTTCCCAATAGAAATTCCATTTAAACGAAAATTTTTATTTTGAGTTTTTAATTGTATATTTTTGGGTGAATGTTTAAAAGGCATCAAAAACTAATTTTAATTTTCTGTATGATGCCACGTGTCACAAATTTCAATTGATGATTATTAATTAGGTCACAATTTCATCTCAAACTATTTAAAAAGATATTAGCATACTAGAAATTTAATTTACTTTATATTTAGTAGTATATCCCAAAAAAAATAAAGTAACTAATTTTTTATTTATTTTTTATGAATTGTTAATTAGTCAATATGTTATTACAATCTAAATTTGTTACTATTGTTATTAAAAATTATTTTATTCTAAACACAAAGTATATTGGTTTAAGTAATATATGAAATAATTATGTGCGTAGATAATATATACTTTGTTATAGTATAGATTCGAAAATTTTAAAAAATACAAAGAAAATGGACAAGTAGATAAAAGTTGGAAAAGGAGAAAAAAATGAAATAATAATTAAAAAAAACTTATAATTATATCCTTTGAGAATTATCTTCTAAAGGTTTACACAATTAACCAAAATTTTTTCTCTAAATAAAAATTAGGCATTTGCTCCACCTAAAAATTTGTGGATAAACCCCTAAATCGAAGCTGTAGTACTGTAGAATAAAAAATTTAGGGCAAATTATCCAATTGGCCCTTGAACTCTTTGTCTAGATAAAAATAAGCCCCTCATCTATTTTTTGCTGACTTTAAGCCCTCAAACTTGTAAAATTGAACACCTGTGACTCTTTTAGCCAGTTTCTCCGGTTTTACAACCGGAAGGCCAATTCACACGAATGACAGTGTGCTTTAAAGAAGGGCATTTTTGTCCACATATTCTAAGCAAAAAGTAAACAACTCCATCGTCTTCGTTTTCCCTAACCCAACCAAACGGGCATAGATTTCCAGAGTTCTTAAGCTTCTGCAAATCGGGGATAACTGAGTCCAACTCAGTGCATTCGATTGAATTCAGTAGTAAGTCTGAGAGACAGGAATCGGATTCCGTAGAAAAGTCCAACTCATTCGTGGAGACGAAGGAATACGTGGCTCTCGAGATTTTAACGGGAAAGGTCGCAATTTCACGGTGGATTGTTGGTGCTTGGGCTTCATGTTGCATGAGATGCTCTACGGGATGATGCCGTTTAAGTGGTCATTGAAGATACCTGAAAATCCGAAGTTAATTGAAGCTTTCGGTTTTCAAAATAATACTGCCTGAAACGATCCTCCAGCCTAAGAGTCTGGTGAATATGATGGGCTTGGTACAAGGGCATCAAATCAAATCCCAAAGCCCCTGCCCCGCCGTTAGCATAGCCTTCCCTGTTATTCTCGCTGAATCCATCTAGCCCTTCATCATCTTCTTCCTCAAGCGCGTAAACGCAGTCTCGAAGACTGAGACGACTCTGCTCCTCGGCTTGCCTCTGCTTGATCTTGAGCTCCTCCTCTCTTTGCCTAGCAGCTGAGGCTTGCCCAATCTCGAGTTGACCTAGATTCCGACTCACTATTCGACTCTCCACCAGCCAGTCCCCAAACTCCTTGCTTACCTTCCTCTTTATATGAGCTCGAATCTCGAGGATCTACTTCTCCAGCATGCGCCGAAGAGTAGACGACGGCATCTTTTTTAGAAACTCACGCTCAATCGAGTCCATGCACTTGAGGGCCATGTAGAAGTTGTTGTTGGAGAGATGAAAATTGGCTCGGGGGCAGAGTTCAACTAATTGAGCACAGGTCCAAAAAGATTCAATGGCAAGTGATGTTCTTGCATTTGTTGCGGGCCTCGACGAAGGAATCCAGTGAGATGAGCAAGGGGAGGGCGATGGACTGAAGCTAGGAGTTGGAAATGAAGAAAGAGGATTTGAGAGAATCGACATCGGAGAGGAGAGAGCGGAAGTCGTCGACTGCCATGATGAAGTCTTGGTAGTGGGCCCTACAGACGTCCTCAATTTCAGACTCTTTGGATCGGGAGAAGTGTTGGAGGTGGTGAAGAAGGGTCTCGAGTTCACCGGAGGTGAAGGCCTTGCAGATGAAGGGGCTTAAGTCCTCACCATTACAGATTGCAGATTAGGTCAGGGAAAAGGAAGAAAATAGAGTTGTTCACTCTTTGCTTAGAAAATGCGGACAAAAATGCCCTTTTTTAAAGTACACTGTCATTTGTGTGAATTGGCCTTCCGGTTGCAAAATCGGAGAAACTGGCTAAAAGGGTTACAGGTGTTCAATTTTACAAGTTTGAAGGCTTAAAGTTAGCAAAAAATAGATGAGGAGCTTATTTTTATCTAGACAAAGAGTTCAAGGGCCAATTGGATAATTTGCCCAAAAATTTACAGATAAACCCCCTAAACCAAATTTGTATACATTCCGAAGAAAAAATCGACTTTTTATTTTTTAAGACTACTGTTACAGAATTCTCAACCGAACCACCACCTTCCGCCTCCTTCGGCCACCACCACCATGCCAGTCTTCAAGGTCCCATTTAACGGCTACTCCGTGAAATTCAGCCCATTTTACGAATCCCAACTTGCTGTCGCCACCGCCCAGAACTTCGGCATCCTCGGAAACGGCCGTCTCCACGTCCTCCAACTCTCCCCAAGTCCAGCAAACCCCGGTCAACCCATCATTGAGCTATCCTCCTTCGACACTGCCGACGGGGTCTACGATTGCTGCTGGTCAGAGTCCCACGATTCCCTCATCGTCGCCGCCGTAGCTGACGGTTCCGTCAAGCTATACGACCTCTCCTTGCCCCCAACTGCCAATCCTATTAGGTCCCTTCAAGAACACACCAGAGAAGTCCACTCGGTGGATTACAATGTTGTGAGGAAAGATTCTTTTCTGTCGAGTTCTTGGGATGACACGGTTAAGCTTTGGACGGTTGATCGGCCGTCCAGTGTTAGGACTTTCAAGGAACATGCTTATTGTGTTTATTCTACTGCTTGGAATCCTAGACATGCTGATGTTTTTGCTTCGGCTTCAGGGGATTGTACTGCTCGCATTTGGGATGTCAGGGAACCAGGTTAGAGTTTGAATTTACTTCGACGTTATAATTTTACTCACGATTATGGAATAAAATTTGCTTGACTTTTCTTCGTTCAAATTGAATCGAATGTTTTGTTTATAGCATTTGGGATGTTCGAAACCAGGTCAAATAGGAAGCTTGAGCGTGGTCTTAATGCTTGTAACTTGTAAGGACTTCAGTTTGAGCGTAGTCTTGACTTTGTGCAAGTGCATTATATATTGAATGTTTCAACTTAAGGCATTTGTGATGTTTGGAAGCTGGTTAGAGCCAGAATTTTGAGCCGTTTTTTGGTCTTTTTATCCTTATATGGAATTGATATGTTCTTTTGCTGTAAAGTTGAGAAATGAGTGGTGACTTGTTTTGAGTAGATTGCATGTTTTCGTTTAAAACCTTTGGTGCCTGGGAACCTGATTATTAGAAGAATTTTGTAACACATTTGATCGTATTTTGATGGATGCAAGGACTGTATGTTGTTTTTATGCTGTTGTTTTGCTCTGAAGTTGAGAATATGATGCTGTATTTTGACTTTTTCGATTACATTATGTTTTGTTTGAAGAATTTGGGAAGTTTGGGAATCATGTTAGACTTGGAATTTATAGCCTTTTTGTGGTACTTCTATTCTGGTAAGAATTTGATGTTATTGTGCCATGAAGCGTTAAATGTTGGAGTTGATTGTTTTGTTCGAATTTACTTTCACTCATGAAGTTTCTGGCTGAAACGTTTCATTGTGCGTAATGCAAGAAATAATTGGCACAAATAGTAGGTTATGGAATAAAAATTTTGATTGTTTGACGGAGGTAAAAAAATTGGCATGGATTTGTCCTGTGAGTTAAGGGTGATTTCAGTTTGTATTAGTTTTCAAAGTCATGAGTTGAGAGCAGTGATTGGTTGGTCTATGCTAAATGCAGAATGCTGCTAAAGTGTTAAAGGTTTTATTGAACAAATAGACTGGGTAAGATTAGGTGTCTTACCACATATAGGAAGGCAGAAATTATTCTAATGTTGGAAGTGAGGTTTGAGTTTTGGGGAAATTGTTCTAGTAAAAGCATAATGAGACTAAGGTAATTGTGCATGAATGAGAGTTTGGATTGATTAAAAGCTTTGCTCGGGGAAAAAAAGAAGTTACAAACTTAAAAATGACTTTGGATTATACCATGTCAGTATCTTTTGTTTTCCTTTTCTCATTTTAGCATCTGTAAGTTTCACTTCTGCTACATAAGGTCAAATTATGGTGTTGAAGAAACAATAACTCAAAAAGGAAGGTAACAATACTTGTGGCTGATAATGAAAATTGAATGTAGATGCCGTGCAAGGATTATGAACTAAAACTTGTTATAAGGGAAGAAGTCTTAAGCAACCCAAAACTTGATGAAGGAGCACATTTTAGGCATGTGTTGGACATGTATGCTTCCCTAAGACAATTGAATGCTGATAATTTACTTGTTCCCTAAATTGTGAAGGTCACAGTTGTAGTGTGCAATTGTTCATATTTCATTCTGTTGACTCTCACAACCAGGTTATCATAATAAAATACTGCTTTAAAGTTAGGGAAGGACTTTAGCTGAATAAGGGGTGTAAATACCGTAGAATAAGAGGGGGAAGAGAGTTATTTCGTGTTGAGCCTCCAGTTGGCTTCCAAGATCAACAGATCAGAATGTGATCGGCAATAATGAATCTTCCAATACTCCCGCATTTGGAGAGGAGGAGTTTTTTTTTTTTTTTTTTAAAACATGATTTTCAATTGTGGTCTTACTATCAATAGACTGGATCATAACAATGAGACATGGAAGATAATCAAGATAATGGAGATCTAGGCGTTATTTTTTCATACTAAATCACAGAGGCTCCAGCAGCATGTGAAATAAAGCACTCAAACAATTTTTAATATGTTCTGTCTTTCACAATACTCACATTGCTTGGATTGCCTTTTTTTTTTCTTTTCGAAATTGTGAAAAATGCCTCAAATGGAAATGCCATCCAGCCTCACTATTAAGCTATTCAGCATATAGGAGATATAGAAATTACGGAAATCTGAATTCTATTATTTCTACATTGCTTGAAAGTCACTATTATGGGTAAGGTACGTCACTGCTCACTCATCCAATTAGGCTCCCCTTTCTTTCAGAATTAAATGCTTGTGAATTCCTAAAAGGTTTGGAGGGCAAAATATTAAATTTCTTCATTGAATATTGCATTGAGGAAGAGTGCAGAAATCTAAGTAATCCAAGAATCATGCTATTTGTTAGCTGCTTACCGAGCAAGCCTTTGCTTAAACCATATGTGACCTAACATTCTGCAGTCAAAGTCACCAGTATCTGAATTTCTGAATCTTGATTTTTGCAGCATCGACCATGATTTTACCCGCACATGAGTTTGAAATTCTTTCTTGTGACTGGAATAAGTATGACGATTGTGTCATTGCTACTGCATCAGTTGATAAGTCAATTAAAGTTTGGGATGTGAGGAGCTTTAGGGTTCCTGTGGCAGTTCTAAATGGACATGGCTATGCAGTAAGGAAAGTGAAGTTCTCACCGCATAGAGGAAGTGTGATTGCTTCTTGTTCATATGATATGACTGTATGTTTGTGGGATTACATGGTCGAGGATGCACTTATAGGGAGGTACGATCATCATACTGAGTTCACAGTTGGGGTAGACATGAGCGTACATGTGGAAGGGCTTTTAGCAAGCACTGGATGGGATGAGCTTGTTTATGTTTGGCAACATGGGATGGACCCTAGAGCGCCTTGAAAAAGGGAAGTTTCTTTTCTTTATTTTTTTTAATTTTTATTTTGTTCTTACATGAGACAACTTGCATTTGCTGAAAAATGAGAAAATTGTACAACTTTCCATTGGGATCTTTTGTTGTACATGTTGTGAAGTAATAAAATTTTTCTTTGTTGACTGTATGATTAGGAATGCAATGTATCACATGATACTGACACTTCTGATGTCTGTTTAAGAATTGGATATCTATTGTCTTCTTTCACTAGTGGTTCAGAGCAGTTGAGAAACATACAAAATGTGAAGAATTCTTTTTTTTTTTTTTTATTTCCTTTTGTTTGAGCATACACTCTTCTTTCCCCTTTCAATAATGAGAAACAAAAGTATTTATGCGTGCAACTCCATCTGCCAATCAACTGTATACTTTGAGTTACCCGTGTTGTGAGCATTGGATATCAGGCCTTTACTTTGTGCTTCTGTAGATTGGCCTTCTGACGCATATTATGGAGTCATGGAAGTTTACTGGTTTTACAATGCTCAAATTAAATCATTTGGTGGACATTTTGTTTGGCTGGTTTCAATAGCACAATCATGGATTCCAATTGGGGCATTTTATGATTGGTGGAAAATTGGGCATGCTGCTGTGTGGTTCAATGTGGTCTTTTAGATGACTAGGGTGTAAAAGTTTGACAGGTGAGATTATCATCAAGGCTTTAGTATCTTGTGGAAAAGATGAAAATGGGATACTCTGCAAAATTTCCTCTTTCCCCCTTTGTTGATAAGTGTAATATCCTCGATACATAAAGCAAACAAGTGCTCTCTTTAGTTCTCTTTTCTGATTTTCTTGATGTTTTTTAGCTTCAGTATTTTTGGTCGTTTGAGCAGAGATATGGATGTTTTGACATCTTTTCTTGCTATCTTAGTTGCTCACAGGATTTACTGTGGGGATGGCGTAGTAGATGATGTATGCTTAGTTATTCTTTGCTAATGACTTTTGGAATACAAACATAAAAACTCCTAAAAACTCTGGAGAGTGCGGATGTATGGTAATAGGTAACGTATGTATGGATGTCTGGATCTAGAGTCTGAATGGTGGTCAATAGTTTGCAGAAGGTAATGCCTATTGTAAAGTGATAAACTTTAAATCATAACAAATTAATTTTGAAAATGGTCTGACGTTTCTTTTTGACGTTTAAATCTTGAAGCATCTCCTTTTTGTTAATTATTTCTTCCGGACATTAGGGTAAAAACAAGAGATCCATTCAGTATTCAAACAAAACTCCAGTTACACCGCAATGCATAATGAAATATCGGGTGGTAGCAGCAATCATATCATAGTGCGTAACTATGTCGATTTTCTCACGAGTCACGGCTTTGGGAGTTTCATATAGCTTCCTACAATCATCTTTTGGTAGGGATGACTTTCCCAAGTGCCTACCAAAAATTTGAGCTAAATTATTTCCTTGACAATAACATCCTGGAAAACCAAAACTGGACTAGCTGAAACCTCAATAACAAAAGTATACAGAGAAAAGGTCCATATAGGGAGAGTTGAACACAACTTATTAACATGTACAGCACATAAGCATAAGAGAAAATGAGTTCAAAAAGCATAAATAAGTATCAGATCTAATTTCTGCTATGACAGTTGTCTATTTTGGCCTCTGCAAAACTTTCCACAGAATCTAGTTTGATTGCTGGAGCTGTTGACACCTTCAAAACTGAGTAGGACCGAAGGTCTGAAATAACCTGAGACATTTTAAACACAAATTGGGACATATAATATTGAAAAGGAAGTTGATATGCACACTAGCTCAGACTTGCTGTTTTTGACAACTGAGTTGCATGGCAACTCTGGCGGTCAATGATGTGCCTGGAGTATAAGCTCTAACTGTGGCTTCTGCAACAGAACTCAGTATGTGGGAAAAGTTTTGATAAAAATGACAGTCTGAATCTTTGTCAGGTTAGCTTTAGATACCCAACCGTGCCAATTTGCGCTCTAGCATTGGTTATTACTAGAGCAATTTTGTGATAATTCTAAACTCAAACATAAAAAATGGTGGATATATCTTCTAGTTTTCTCAAATTTGTGGTAACTGATCGAAGGCATAAATGTGATTTCCTTAGAATTAAGAGAAGCCATAAGCAGGCAACTAAACAGAAATCAATAGCACTTAAGTCAATACCTGATTCACAGTATCGCAAATGCACATCCTGCCATTTCATTGAGATTTCCAAAAAAGAAATGGAAACGTAACAATTAGCACAATGTGGACTCATAGTCAAGTAAGCGCGAAAGAATATCCTGACAGCTAGGCCGTTCATCTGGCTCACCCCAACAATCTGGAAAGGGAAATATGTCAAACATGAGTACCAAAAAAAAAATGACAGCCTCACAAGTGTTTAATTACTATGATAGACCTAAAATAAGCTTCCCCAAGGGACCATCAGGAACATCCAGCCTCTTCCCATCATTTGCAACAGCATCAACCACCTTAACAAATACAAATGGAAACATGATATGTGAACTTCAAAAGAAAAGGGTAGAGATTAGAGACCATGTTTGTATTCCTTCTCTTCTATTTTTTAACGGCTAGAATAATTCAAAATGTATATCACTTACTTGGACAGATGGAACACCATGCCATGGCTTGTTGAGTGTGCATAGCTCCCATATTATCACACCAAAGCTAAAAATGTCACATTTTTCTGTGAAGGGCTCGTTTCGTATGAGCTCCGGAGCCATCCACTCTGGAGTCCCAGCAGATGAATAATCTTTCATAGGGGTGGTCATCAGTACCCGAGAAAGCCCAAAATCACAAATTTTCACTGTCCAGTGCTTATTCACAAGGCAGTTTGCACTTTTTAGATCCCGATGTACTATCTTCATCCGGTGCAAACATGATAGGCCCCTTAAAATTGCACAGATGAATGTATGCATGAAAATCCCAGGACATGCATATAAGTTTGATGTCATGAAAGAAGAACAAAGGCCTAGACTGACTGCCCCGCACATTAAAGTTAACAACCAGCATTCTAATTAGTGATTATTGGCACCATAATATTTGTCTCATATTCCACGTTTAAAGAAATTTGATAGAACTTTTAACAATGTACGAGAAAACTGCACCAGATTATCATTCATGTACTGACTCTGAGATCGAATCTTAGCCTCTTTCCAGTGTCATCTAACTAATCAAGTCTGAATTATATCCAAATTAAACAATCTGACATCTCTATCCAAATTAAACAATCTTCAGGGTTCACTTAACTGGAAATGCAATGTACTTTGCATGGACAAATTCTGTTACATTAGGGTTTAGATTGAAAAAGTATTATAACTGCAATGAAATAAAATCCACTATAAACACGACACTTCATTCCAATTTGCTATATTCCTCTTCCTCCAAGTTGGTCACCTTGGACCAATTGGTCTTCACATATCACATGTCACAAAGGCCAACTGCAGAGATGCAGCATATAGCTTTGGAATTTGGAATTCACTCCAAAAAGATTCTACTGCAAATATGTTACAGTACGAATTTAAATTAGCATTTTAAATTTAAACATTAAAATACAAATATTCATCTCCAACCTCACTACTCTTTGGCAATACCACACAATTTCCTGGTCACACTTTTTAGTAGACATAGCATATCTCAGGTCCTAGTTTCGTTTAGTTTTTATTGAGCTCAGAAATAAAATTTTAACTGTCCAACATCGTTTAAGCTCTATATAGTTTCCAAGAGATGAGTCTAACAGACATTAAAAAATGTGTGACTTGCTTATGAAATAATATGAAACAAATAAAATGCCAGCATGTTGGTTTGTTGCCAACTTTTATATGTTGTCAAAACTTAAAGAAAAAGAGAAAAGCCATAGTTTTGAATAGTCAATTTTCAGGATAAAAGAGAAAAGGTCAAAAAGATTTAAAAACACAGCTTGGTATACCTGCATATATCACATAGCATTTTCAGTCTCCTTCGCCAACTGAGTTTCTTTTTTTGCCCACTCCCATGGATGAGATAATACAGAGATCCCATTTCCATGTATTCAGTAACCATAGACAAGCGTGGAGGATTTGTGCAAGCACCAAGAAATAGAATAACTGCAAATAGAAGTATCACCAACAGATACACTCTTGATCAATCAGAATATGCAATTATAAAAATTGTAGAATTACATATCATCCTGGGTTCTTTGACATTTTGATGCATATTAATGCATATAGAATGCTGATGCAAAACATGAGAGCATAAACAAATACAAAAAGAATCGCATATACTGATATGCTAGTATAATCAAATATAATCAGAAGTGTTAACATAGTGTTTGAGTGAAGATTTATGAGGCTCTCCAAGGGGTATACAAAGGGTTTGAATACAAAATAATAAGTTTATGTATGTAAAGCAAGAGGAATATCATTTCAATTGTAAATCAGAAAACTGCCTTGCAACTACATTCAATGAAATAAAGATCATTTGTCTTGATAAAAGCCAGAAGAAACTGTTTCATAGAAGTGCTATACTGTTTCATAAAGATCTGTTGAAAAGCTCTGAGAATTTGAAACCATAGCTGATGTATCCCGTAATATCAACCTCTTTGCTATTGAAAAATTAAGAAACATACACTGGAAGGAGTACAACATTAAAAAGTTAACAAGAAAAGGCCTTTAATTTTCAAATTAAATGGAAATGTAGAATAAGAGGTCATACAAATATAAAGCTGACCATGAATTGGAAGCCAATCAAATAGTCAATCAAGAAAGATGCAGGTAATTCAGTGTAAACTTTGAAACTGATTATTAAAACTGATCGAAACTACAAGTTCTTTGACATGGAGACTAGGACAATATGAATGGTCTATGAGGGGCCCAAATGCATCTATAGTTTACTTGAATAACCATGTTCAGAAAGTGAAGACGAAAGGCAACAGAAATTGTGCCTCTGTGGCAGAGAAGGTTGGACTAGTGAGCCAGGTGGGACATGGAGTGGGACAAGTGACAGTCCAAAAAGGACATCGATGAGAAAATCACATCAGGAGATGTGAAGAATCACAAAATTAAGGATTTTAAGTTCTTTAGTTGGAACTTGCAATCATCCAAAAGGCAAATGACAAATATAAGAAGAAAGATTACCATTTGGGTGGCGAACACGGCTGTAAAACAAAAAGTTATATGTTAGCCAGACAAATAAATTGCTATGTGGGGTAGAAATGGATTCAGAAAGAAAATGGACAGTTAGCAATAGCCAAAGTTTTTTCTTTGGATTCAAAAACACTATTAAACAGTAAAATACCTCAGGATAGATATTTCAGTACAAAAGTCTTCAATGTTCTCTAAAGTTAAATCTTGTTCTAGAAAAACTTTAACTGCAACCTGTATACCATTCCAAATCCCATGAAAAACTTCCCCAAAGAACCCTGCAGATGGTAACAGAAACCTAATCTTAATGATGAAGAAAACCGAAGACTGCTGCAAAAATTTACACGCACAGTTCCAAGAGAAAAATTTGCAGTAGAAATCATCAAATGTCCATATGAGGTCAAATATCCAAGGCGATGAGCAAAGTACATAGTATTCTAATTGAACATAAATCAAAGTCCATGAATGCATACTATTTTCTAAACCAAAAAGATCATAATGTACTTCAAAATATTCACTACAACTCATCCCCTAATGACTTGTATCATAAATCTAATAGTACAAGATCAAACAAGTTAAAGAGCACCTGATGCAGATTTCTAAAAGCATGAAATGTAATTGAGCAAACTTCAGAAAGTAAGTTCTACTTTGCTCTTGTTCTATTTGACGTTAGAAATGAACATACAGGAGAAGCACTATTGGCAGTTACACTTTTTAGGTAATATAATAACCAAAAAAAGATAAAGCAGAAATTAATCTAT